ATATTGATGAAGTTGTTGTTGATGAATATGGTTCAGGGCACGTTTTGGTTTATGATGATGATGAAAGTGTTGAATCTGTATTTCAATGTATATAATTCTGAAATTGTAATGCGGCTATGACTTGTAGTTCTGAAATAATATATAAGATGGATTTATTTATAAGGGTGGTTGAGATGATCTGGTCCACAGGTGGGATGATGGAGGGAACAACTGGCAGGCAGAGGCCTCCATATATAGACAAATGTGAGGGATTTTGGCCCCAGGGTACAGGCTGAAAGATACTACTACAAAGGGATGCATATGAATGAATGAAGGGATGCATATGTATGATCAAAGGGATGCATACATGCAATATCACTAATACAAAGGGATTCAAAATAAAGTAAAGGTATTCAGTATTCAATATGCATCCTGTATTCATAATGACTATGACTAGAGTGAAGAATACAATAAATATCCCGTGACAGGTTGAAATACGTGTAACTTCCAAACTATAAGAGATAAAGGTATGGTTGTAGTGGGTGACTAGGGGTTATTTTACACCCCAGCGGCAGTTCGTACCGCGCGGGATTGTGGAACCGACGAAACTCGGCCGATCCGTGGAACCAACAAGATTGGCTCTGTAAGTGTTCGGTAAGAGCCGATTTCGACGGCGGTTCCACGAACCGAGATTTTTTCAACGTTGATTCCACGAACTCCCATCCGAGCCAATCGGGCTCTTGTTGCTCACATCGGTCCCACGGCAGCCAAATTTTTTTTACCTACAACCGGGACCCGCTAGAACGGGTCCTGACAGTCTAAAAGCTCCAGAAAAACGAATGTTGAAGAAAAAAAAAATTAAAAAAAAAAAAACTTTGAATTTTTTTCTGTGATGTCAGTAAAAATAACCCGGAACCAATCAGGACGGGTCGGTATGACCTCGAAAAGGCCTTGGGTACAACAAGTCTCTGTGGACTAGTCGTCAAGGTTCACCCTTGACCGACCAGGCCATTCTGCCACCTGGGTTCGAGTCCCTGGTATTTCCTTTTTGAGGCCCCCGCGGTTTCTGCAACTGCGGCCCTACCCAAAATCACGTCGGCTCCTCGGGGCAGCTTTGGAGGAATGCCGTGGATGGGTGGGTGGGGTCCACGGAAAACTCTGGACCGTCAGGTCCTGGTCCGACTCCCTGCAGTGGTCACTCGTGGGATCCACGGGCAAAAGGGGTGTCGGACCACGTCGAACTGCACCCCAGGTGTACCTGAGGATTCCATTTTTGATTTCATTTTTACCATATCTTGAATGAATAAAGAGATAATAAGAAATTTTTTATATTTTCTGCGTAGAAACACAGTATTATTTACCACATCGGCTGTCAGAGTGGTTTGCACTCAAATCAGGATCTGCCCATGGGCAGATTCTGATCTCTCAAAGTTGAGATTCAGGCCCTCCCACGTCCGAACATGCCCTAAAAAAACTTTTTCAACTGCTCAACAAAAAAAAAATGAAAAGCAAAGAGAAATATAATTTTTTCCATATTTTTGGGAGGGTCACAGGCTGCAAGGAAAAAAGGGAAAAAAGGGGAAAAATTGAAGGCTTGCAGGAAGCAAGGAATTCAAAATTACTGTTTATGCAGCTCTCTGCATCTGAAATTTCCCCAGAGAACTTTATTTTTGCACCCTTGGTGTCATTTATGGGGCGGATATCTGCGGATACCCACCGGTACCAACAGATACCCGCCAGAAGATGCAGATGCGGATGTGTAATTCCGCTAAAAAAGCCAGCAGATATCTACATGGGCCAGGGCCATCTCTAATTAGAGTGGTCCCAATTACACAATTACAGGCATCATTTTGAGTTGGCTTGACCGCTTCCCTGGTCTCCTACCTAGTTATAGGCTAGCAACACTGGGCCGCTACACTAAAGGGCCATTTAGTGTTAGCGTAGCTGCCTTGGCAGCAGCCTTTTTTTGTGTAGTGTTAGTGTGCGCTACCACCCACTACGCCAACGGTGCAACAGATACAAAGACATGTATTCGTATCAGATTTTATCGTATTTATTTGGAGCCTGATACCGGTATCAGTATTTCCTTGGTTGGTGAAAAAATATATTGTATTGGATTCGGATTTGCAAATGAAAAAAATGTCTTTGTTTTTTTGTTTTTTCTTCAATACAGCCCAAATATCTTATGTATCAAATACGTTTTTGGTGGGATCAGTCATCTGAGACAATACAGAATACTTGTCTCACTTTCCAAAGACAAAAAATAATATGATGAAGGAAACTGTTGGACTGAGAGGGAATTTGAGGTGATCTTGTTGAAATCTTGAGGCTTGAGGATATTGATAAGTTGAAAATTGAGAATTGACCTTGAGGGGGCCTGTACCATTTAGAACACCACACTGTATACTGCCGCTACGCTACAGCCCTGTTAGCGGTCTGGTAAGAACAATCAAACCCATAGCCCATAAATAAAAACATTTTATTACCCATAAATAGTAACTAAAATATTAGAGGAGAAGGGGTAAATTACAGAATAAAGTGTATAATTATTACTGGGTTAAATCATAGCTAAAACAAATCGTGAATCAGGCCTAAGATATTTAATCCCACATGAATAATAAATAAAACCAATAGTCTGTATAATATATAAAAGACACTGCTTTTATCTTAGACTGATAATTCAAGCTACTAATCAGAAAGAACCTCAAAGACTAGTTCTAGAAAATAATTCTGATACTAGTTAGTCTTAGAATACCCATCTCATAGTAATTAAACTAAAACTAGGCATCTGATAGAAGGATTACAATCTCTTGTATTAGAAGGGCACTTATAGATTAGCTCATATCAGATTAGACCATCTCAGAGTAGTAAAAACCACTCTAGAAGTGCCCTTCTCAGACGCACTTGTGTTCAGGCCAAAATCTCATGTACTGCAGAACCATTTGTCTATAAATAGAGGCTCTTCTGCCCATGTTTTCCTCTTCCCTCCTCATGTTTTGCACCAGAAAAGTAATTAGAGATATTACTTAGCACTCATCAAAACCAGATGCTAGCTTCAGAATAGTAATCAGAGATATTACTTAGCTTTCATCACCCATTTGATTTAAGAAATCCAGAGAAATATCAGAGCCCCTTTGAACATCCCTTATCTCATATTTTGGCCATATATAGAAAAGTAATTCAGAAATATTACTTAGCCATTCTCACCTCTTTGAAAGTTATTAGAGAAATAAGTGTACCATTTATCAGAGCCCAGAGAAACCAGAGAGTCTTATTAGATCAGAGAACCTGAGAGAATTTATAACAGATTTAACAGAGAAACCCTTCAGAAACCCTTATTACTCAGAAAACCCCACAAACTCCTAATTACCTCTTCAACAGGTATTCTTAAGCAACAAAAATAGCAGTATCAACACTAAGATAAATTTAGAAATAACGCCAGACTCTTATTTTTCTTAGTGTAACTGTCCCGCAAGATAGGCAGGAGGGCAGTCTAACCCGCACACACAGATACTAATTCTACTATTCCATAGTCTTATTAGCTATTTTATCCCCTCCAAGCTCTTTACTCACTTGCTGAGCAGTTCCGCAGCGGCAAAAAAGGCCAAAAAACCACTAAAAAGCGCTGTAGCTTAGCGTAGCAGACACTTTTTGCGCCCCATGGGTGTAGTGTCAGTGTGGATGAGTGAAATAAAGCTAACACTACGCTAACAGCCAACACCCTTTGGCGCCCCTACATGCATAGTGTAAGTGCAAATTTGCAGATTTGCGCTAACACTACGCTAAATGTTAGCTTATTTTAGCTACACTAATGCTACAGTTAGTGTAGCTGGTCCACCGTTGAGGCTAGTACTGATGGGAGGGGGGGTTGCACATGCCACACCCTGTGACCAGCTCCAATGCCTAGCTTGCGCAGCCTCTCCGTCGATCACACAAAGTGCGGGAGACGCTTGTGCGCAAAACAAACCCGCTTGGGTGATTGTTGCAATTGTATTTCTAAAGTACTCCTTTTTGAGAGAGAAAAATATATAGAAAATTGACTGCTTAGAACCTGTTATAATATCCAAATAAAATTTGGGCTGGGTGTGTGCAGAAGATGGAGACCTAAGATTGGTTTGAGAAAGATGTAGAACGATAGGTACTTGATCAGTGTTGTTTGGAGTGTTGTTGCACCTCAACCCATATATGTGTTGTGTCTTTTGACTGCTGGTGGCTAGCTTACCCTGCCACCAATGTTCAAGTTTGATTTTCCAGCCAGTATTTAGGAAACTTGCTTAAAAAGGTGCTCAGAAGATCAACAACATGGTCCACTTTGACCAACATACTGACTTGACCTCCAATAAAAAAAAAAGTAAAACTACATCCATGGTAGCTGATTCAAGAATCGCTACACACCAAAAAAAAAAAACATTTGTGCAGTTTTGGCACACAAGTCCCTCTCCTTCAGAGCCTTGCATTTTGAGTGGTGCCAGCCAGCCCAGGTACACCAGCCCTGCAGAAGTGCAGGACTTGTTATTCAAGTTAGTGCCAATAACCCTATCAAGAGATATGAATTAATTGATTACAGAATCGTCAACACTGGAAAACAAACAAACAAACAAAGATAGAGTGATAGATGATAAATGTAAGAGTGTATTATATGTACGTTTATGAGTATGTAGATCATTATGATCATGAGATGGATAGCTGATATAACAGTGTATCAGGATGTCTTAATTACAAGGGGGGAAAACAAACAATGCAATCAAAAGACTCTTCTTTTTTTTTTTTTTTTTTAAAAAAAAAAAAAAGTTTTTTTTGATTATTTTTATTACCCCCACACACCCTGTAGAAAAAAAAAGGAAAGATCAATTCAACCCCCCCAAAAAATGCAAATATTTGACCAATCAGGAAAAAAAGAGAGAGAAGAGACATTAACACAAGAGTTACAAAAAAAAAGAGAAGAAAAGAGTGGAATGATCAGAGAGTACATAATAGAATGAAATAAAATATATGTGGATATGTATATATACCTCAGAAGATCAAGAGTCAGTTAAAGAAGAGTGTGAAGATTGAGAAGACGAGAGTTTTTGAAGATTCAACAGGGCGTCGATTTCGAGTTGATTGAGGACCTTAGTTTTGCCGATAGCACTAGACGAAGTGCGATGAATGTTTGAGTCGAGCAGTTGATTGTTTATCGATGTGGTTGTAGCAGGATCAGTAGTTTGAGAAGAAGAAGAAGGAGGGGGAGAAGCCGGAGTATGATGGATAGCTTTAGTAGCACTGTCCATCAACCACTCGATAGACTTGACGAGCTCCGAGAACAGGGGGTCGTTATCCATCAACCGTTCGATCGCCAGATCCTCGTCCTTCTCGTCTCCCCCGTCCTGCAGCTGATCTTCAGGGCCCAAGAATGGATGGTTGAGGAGGGTCGAATTGGAGGAAGAAGAGCTACTTGTTTCGGAGCCATCGGGCAGTGGAAGCAGGTTGTGGTTGGACTGGCCGGCTTGAGAGCTGGCAGCATTGATCGTTCGTTTGAGACTCCTGATCTCGTTCTGTTGCTTGACTTTGGTCCGTTCCAAGGCCCCATTGATGGCCAACAAGGAAGCATTACTGATCTCTAGATCGAGTATCTGTAAATCCATTCATCCAGTCAGTTAGTCATCATCTTGAATCTGATCCAAAAAAGAAAGTCTTACCTTGCGATTGACTCGTGCATGATCGTGTGTTTCAAGTGGTAGGGGATGATTAAGTTTGCGTTCGATGACGGTGGGTGTGGTGATGGTAGTAGTGGAGCTAGAGGGTGTTGAGGATGACTGGACAAGTTGTTGTTGTTGTTGTTGTTGTTGTTGCTGTTGAGCTTGTAGCTGTTGCTGTTGCTGAGCTTGCTGTAGTTTGAGTGCCTGTTGCTGCTGTTTGAGTAGTTGTTGCTGTTGTTGATTATGATTAATGACATGATTAGGATGGATATCGAGCGGATTGAGACGCGGAGAAGGATGATGATTATCGAGGAGGCGGGGAGACTGGTGATGTTTGTCGTTAGGATTGAGACGCGGGGACTGGTGGTGAAGTTTATCGTTTGGGATTAGACGAGGGGAGGGATGATCTGTTATGAAGAGAGCTTGAGATGTCAGTTCTTTTTGTGGGTGAGTAGATTGAAGTGGGATAGCTTTTACTTTGTTGATGATGAAGTGGTTGGTATTGGTATGGATGGAGTGAGGTAGTTGAGGATGAGAGATCGGATGAGGAGCAGGAGGATGAGTTAGTACTGGGTTGGATTGAGGTCGTTCGAAGACG